TACACAGCTAATATAATTATATTGATATTTCCAATTAATAATCTGTGGATTCATCTTATGGAACAAATAAAAAATTATGTCCTGGAACTTGATAACTCCATAAATATTTAAGGAAGTACTGCTGTCTCTAATATTAAAAATATAATTCCACCTCTTTTTTTTTGTGTGTGAGTGAGATAGAAGTGTAAGTGTACTGTGCTTTGAAGTTGTGAGATTATACCTATTCAATATTTAAGCTGTTTAATATTGACACAATTTAAAGAAAAAACACTGTGTCTAGAAGGCCAGTATAGGAAGTTAGTCCATTAATAAAACATAGTTGATAACTGGCTTTCTGTAAAATGTCCTTCATTCGGTTATTTTTCTGTGTCACTGATTTTGCTTCAGTGTGAAAGAGTTTAGCTATTGACATTGAATGTTTGAATGTTCCAGGCAATGACTGAATCAGGCAGTGAAAAGAAATCTTCAGGTGATGCTCCATTGGATCTTGGATTCCCTGATGATGATGATGATACTTGTCATCATGATGGTAAACATGTTTTTTCTTTTATATGTATGTATATTTTATCCTGTTTTGACATAAAACAATTTATAGGTTGAATTCAAGAAGAGAAATTGATCAAAATAAACTGTTTTTTCATTTATTAAATTGTATTATAAATGGATAGAAAATATGTGACTTTTGCAATGCATGGTTTACAGTAGAATAATTATGGTGTTTACAAGATTTTTCAAGCTTTGTGTAAATGTGTATTTATGGTAAAAATAATTTTAGTAAAAACTACATATAAGTGATGCTTAAATTTAGCATTATGTTTACATTAAAGATAATATATGTCTGGGTCAGAGCTGGGTGACTTAATTGATTACTTATGAGCACTGGCTGATTAGTGTCATGTAAAGAAAATGATTAATCAATATTATGGCTAAATGGATTTGCATAAAAATAATTAATCAAAATTCTTGTTATATCAATTCTTACAAAACAATCAACTAATTGAAATAAGTGTTTTTGGTTATTCCAACAATCTATTAATTGAATTTATGGTTTCTAATTATTACTATTTTTGATTATTGTAACTATCTAGATAATTAAAATATTGCTCTTATGTTTGTTTGTTGGTAGAGCATTAAGATAAGTTTGTTCAGCTATGGTAATGTGGGTGTGTGTATGTTTGCTCATAATTTGAGGTTTGGGGGTTTGATTCCCATTGCTTCTAGACTTGCTCACCCTATTTTACCTGCCATCAAGTTCTTTTTTTTAAATTTTTTTCTTCTTGAACTGCTATGTAGAGGGTAGATAAGTGTCTGGCAGTACCTACCACTAACTTTTGTTTTTATTACTTTCTTCTTTTTGAACTGCTGACTGGAGGGAAAGCAAGCGGCTGGCAACACTCAACACCAGCTTTTTTTTTCTTGTATGTACCATGATTTCAGGATCGCTGTATTGATCATTTGATTGAATGTTACCAATTAATGGGGGCCATCAGTTAATTCATTAGTAAATACAACTAATCACCCAGCTCTAGTCTGGATACTTTTAAAGAAATGATTTAATTTCTCTATAAAAAATTGAATTACTTACTATATCATGAACCACGATAAGTGGTTCATAATTGGGTTCCCCCAGAAATTTCACAAACATTCTAATAGAACATATGGGCAAAAAATGTCTTAAAAAGCAGACTTGTTTTTGAAACAACATTCAAAACCTTTTATTTCAATTTCTAAGGCTGCTAAGAATTAGCAAAAAAGTTGATTTTTTTTATTGTGACACAAAATTCATACATTTGTTCTTTATATTATTATTATTCACATTATTCTTGTTTCACAAGCCTTCAGAAAAAATGGCTATGAATAGTTTATTCAAACCAAGGCAAACCTCCTAAAAAACTCCCGCACAGGTCATAGGACTATTTTTATATTGATTTTTGAAAGAGTAGAGATTTTATCAGTTTTTTATATCTTGGGTATTGGTGAAGAAATTGGTGTAAATAACTTTCACCCCTGCAACTCTTACACCACACCACACGTAAGCAAAACAAAAAATACAACATTGCACAAGACAAAAGTTACAAGTACAAGTAAGCTCATAATGATAGGTAGGCAAACAATGATTTATATATCATTGTTTGCCCACCTATTATCATGAACCACAAAAGTTATTCATAATACAGATAGCCCAAGAATTTCACAAAAATTCTAATAGAACATTTGGGCAAAAACCACCTTAAAAAGCAAACTTGTTATTGAAACAACACTCAAGATCTTCTTTCCCAATGGCTAAGGCTGCTAAAATATTGATAATAGCAAAAAAGTTGATTTTCTGATTGTTAGACAAAATTCATCCAGTTGTTCTTCATATTATTATTATTTCACAAGCCTACAAAAAAAATGGTTGTGAATAAAAAAAACTCCTGTGCAGGTCATAGTACTATTTTTATGCTGATTCTTGAAAGGGAAGGGGATATTTTATCAGTTTTTTTCATCACTACTGGCCAAGTTTTCCTTTAAAGCTATTCAAGCACTAAAGCCTACAGGAAAAACGGCTAGGTATACTTTGCCAAAACCTATGCACAGCTACTAAACAAGCTCCTGCAAAGGTTGTAGGGCTATTGTTAAGTTGATTCTTCAAAGTTGAGATTTCCACCCTCTGAAATTTTCTAAGTTCTCTTTGCTACCAACATAAGCTCTTTGAAACCATTTAAGTACAGTTATGCTAGTCGAAAATGTTTCATTTTGTTAGAGTAAACAAGGTGTATATTTATAATAGTGTCTCCAGCTTTACTATTATTGATTATAGTTTTAAAAGCTGCAACAGAAAAAAGGCTACAAATATTTTACTGAAACCTGGACAATAGTAATGAATACAGTATTAAGTGCATCATATAGTAGTTTTAAAATTAATTCAAGCACCTTCGTTTTTTTGCCCTGGAGAATTTCTCTATGCCCTTCACTTTTCACCACTTAAAAAAATTGGTGTTTTACTAATGAACAATTATTGGTAAATAATCTGTGCAACTTATAGCACATTAATTGGAAACTGCCATGTTGAGGATTCATCATTTCTCGAGTTCGCTGTTCTTCATTGTTTCTCGAGTCCACTGTTGTACTTTGTCTCTACATTGTTTTCCATGAGTTTTCTAACAGTAAACAATTACCATAGTAGATTTCGCCAATCTCATGAGTGGTGATATTATACTGATATTCATACTTTGCTTGTTAAATGAGTGTTTAAACACAAAACCTCAGGCACAAAACCACCTAGCTGATGGTTGGGTGGAAAAAAAAGCCAATGCAGCAGTAAGCTGTTGAAAAACATGTAACATTCAACCGAATGCATATGCATGTATGTAACTTAGAATTTAAAAAGAATAGGGATTGTCAAAAAAGTACAGAAACAAGTTGAATCAAAATGCAAATATTATATTTTCAAGCCTACTTTTTGACAATCCCTATTCCCCCCTTTTAAATCAACAAATTTTAATTATCTTGTATATTATGTGTGGACAGTAATTAAAATTGCCCCCACAATGTTATCATCATATAATTATCGAGATCATTTACTTATCACACTAACATACAACTTAGGTGAAAGAAGGAGGAGGAAGACTCAGTAACCCAATTGACTGTATATTCCCAAGTACCATTTCTGAATTTTTTTTATTTTAAAAAATATAAGAGGTCAGTGCATTTAGAAGTTTGTATTTCAGGGTTTTTTCTTGACTCTTCATAACAAATAACTTGACATATGAAGACCTAACATTAACAATAGGTCTGAAGCTATCATCATCTCATCCAGGAGGTGTTATGTTGGACAATGTAGATCAGGGGTCCCAAACCCTTGGGCCTTATACTGAAAAAGTTTGGGAACCCCTGACATATATAATAATGCACTAATGTCCATATTGCTTATAAAGAAAACAGTTGCTTATTGATTAGCATTGTTGACCCTCTATGGCCAGGTGGTTAGGGGAACTTCACTCGCAATCCCTGTCTCACCAAACATGCTTGCCTTTTCAACTGTGGGGGCATTATAATGTTACGGTCAGTCCCACTATTCGTTGGTAAAAGAGTAGCCCAAGAGTTGGCAGTGGGTGATGATGACTAGCTGCCTTCCCTCTAATCATTCATTGCTAAATTAGGGATGGCTAGTGCAGATAGCCCTTATGTAGCTTTGCGTGAAATTCAAACCAAACCTTAATATTGTAAAGACACAAGGTTGGCATATTCAAATCAAATAGTGCCTATTTATGCTTACATGAAGAACTTAGGTATTACCATGTGAAATTCTTGCTGAACTAGGATGTAATGATAAAAGTTTGTTTTATATTGACATATTATGATATACTTATAAATTTCTACTAAACAGTCTAACCATTAATGCCTTTTAACAGTCCAACAAACATTCCATTTAGGTAGACTTTTGAACTTTAATACAACTCTAGGTCAGAGATAAATGACAGTGCAAACAACACATACAGAGTTTACCACAAAGTGCTAAAGTTATGTTGTTTCAAGTTAACCTGCATAAATATAACTTTAACCCTATTGCAACAGGCTCGTGTATTTTACACAACCTCCTAACCATCAGTATTTCCCACCAACATCCAGTTATTCTAAGGCATGCACCATTTTACAGGAAAGACAGACTTGTTTTTAACTTTGGAACACTTTCTTCCAGTGAGGAGAATAAAACAGAAAAACTTTTATTTATATCTCACTCTTTTTCTCCTTTTCCTTTTTTTTCATAAATTTGAATTTGGAATTAAGACTGATTCTGAAATTGTCTGTTATGATGATTTTAATTGCTATTTACTATTTCATAATTTCTTTTTATATTGTACTACTTTATGTATATTAGTTACTTCATTATTTATTACATTTAATTTTTCTTGTATTTAGGCCTTATCATCTTCCAGTTTGATATGCTAATCATGCATTTTTCTTCCATAATTCTTTAACAATAGCCTTCTCAGATTAAATTATTATTTTTAAATATACTACTTTTTTCCTAATATTTTGTTCACAGTAGGTCATCAATTAATACCTTGTCTTTATTAATCTGTATTACATTATTAGTGTTTTCAATCACATTGACACATTTATCTCGCATTAATATATTACAATATTCTCATGATGATACTAGTATTTGTATAGTAACGGATTCCGGAGAAGGGCCTAGTTTTGAAACATCAACTTTGACATCAAGAGTGTATTTGACTTAATTTTGTGTCTTTGTTCCATATATTTTTAATGAGAGTAATGTTTACAATTATAATATTCTGTAATTTGTGGAAAAAACAAACCCTGTTACAATTTGTACATTAGGCTATAACAATACTCATGCATACTTTCAATAAAAATCACAGCACCAGTGTTTCATGAGCACAATAAACCTCTTTTTATAATGTTAAAAGAAAACCATGTGAAGCCTGTTTTTTGTTTTAATTTTATATGAACAAATTTATTTTGACTTTGTTCATGTGTTTTCATTACTTAGCATTAATTCTACCTTAAGAAAGGAATATTTTCAGCTGTGTTATTTTGTCACTTATAAAAAAGAAATAAACTGTGATAGTGTTGTCATGATATAAAAAGATTGTTTAGTTGGATATTATTGA